CCGCCCCGGGCGGACGCCTGGGTGGCTGCGGATCCAGCCGCCCAGCGCCCGCCCGCCCATTGCCCGAGCTGGGCGGGGACGGCCCTGAACCTCCTTCCCCAGGGACCTAGGATTTCCATGTGGGGCAGCCTGGGCGAGGACTGAGGCCAGAGCCCTCAGGGGCACCCTGCTCCTCCACACCGCTTTGCCTCTAGGCCGGAGGGGGGGGTCACCTGAGTCCTCCGGGATTTGTTCCTGAAATCGATTGCAGAAATATGGAGAGCTTATTAGATGCCCCACTGTGAGAGTTTCAGAAGCCAGATGTTACTCACCATCATAAGTTTATTCTCTAGTGGTGGCAGCACACAATATTGTCACAAGCACGGGTGATGATACAGTGCCAGTTGGGACAAGTGGTAGGAGGGGAAAGGAAAGAAGGAGGGAGTCCCCTGACCTAGTGAAGGAGGGTGATCTGGGAATTCTTCACTCGGGAAGTGAGCTGGAATTGAGATCCTAAGTAGGGGAAGAAAAACAGCTCGGAAAAGCGGGGCAGATAGAACATTACAGCAGGTGAAACTGAAACAGCAAGGCAGGGGGCGTTATGTGGTTGTGGGGTTCTCACCTTTGCCCTTAGTAATTGTAAGAAAGGACTCAAGCTCAAGGTGCAACAGCAGGCTTATTTACAAAGGGGTGTATCTGGGGAAAAGGAAAGCATTTCTTTTTTTTCTTTTAAGATTTATGTATTTATGCATACAGAACTGAGGTACAGGCCAGAGGTGCGAGGGCGGTGAGAGGCTTCACCAGAGACAGAGTGGGGAGCAGAACAGGCAGATTGCTAAGGGGAGCAGCGGGTGAGACAGGACAGGTCTGCCACGCCACGTGGGTCACCTTCGGGACTGCGGATGGAACTCACACTTAAGCGGCAGTGGCTAGCTTGCAGTGCTGCACTTTAACCCGCTGCTCTACCAGAGAGGGCCCAAGGAAAGCATTTCTTTCTTTCTTTTTTTTTTTTTTTTAAAGATTTATTCATTTGTGCATACAGAACTGGGGAACAGGCCAGAGGCGCGAGGGCGGTGAGAGGCTTCACCAGAGACAGAGTGGGGAGCAGAACAGGCAGATTGCTAAGGGGAGCAGCGGGTGAGACAGGACAGGTCTGCCACGCCACGTGGGTCACCTTCGGGGCAGGGATTGAACTCATGCGGAAGTGGCTTTAGCTTCTTAGTGCTGTGCTTTAACCCGCTGCGCCATCAGGGAGGGCTAAGGAAAGCATTTCTAAGGCCACAAATGGCTGGTTGTCCTACCCCAGGTAACGTCCACAGTGCTCAGCTTCCAAACCAATGGGAGGCGTTGTCCCTCTATAACATCCTGGAACTTGTGGTGCATCTGTAAGCCGTGGACCTCATCTGTGGCAACGGGGGGTAGGTGCTGCTACAGCAATCTGAAGCCAGACTGAGCAGTGCCAAGTGCTGGACCAGCCAGCTCTCAGGCTGTGCCAGAGCACCAGCATTACAGCTCTTTAATGATGCCCAGCATAGGCCAGTGGTGTTTCCTATTTATGCAGTTGAAGCTAAAGTCCCAGGTCTTGTAGGTCTCTGGCGTCTGTACGTCAGAGGTCCTCCCCGGAGAGAGTCTGGATGAGTCTCTGTCTGAAGCCCTCCCAAGCTGACTGAAGTCTCTGTTTATATTGTCCATCAGGGGAACCCCCTTCAACCCTGCTAGGTCCAATTTCCAAGCCGGCTGTTTCCAAGACTTGATTGATGAGGGTTAAGCTTAAACCTGATTGGGACAAGTGGGGCTCAGACCTTGTCCGTTTTCAAAACAACTCAAGATTCACAGGGGTTAAGGCACAGGGGTTAAGGACAGTGCTAACAAATGACCCACAGCCACCACAGCAGGAATTCAGTCCTGGCAGGAGCTGACCCACATGGTGCTGCAGATCTCTCCTGTCTCCCCACTGCTCCCCTCAGCAGTGTGTTTCAGTCCATTTGCCTGTTCTGCTCTCCACTCTGTCTCTGGTGAATCCTCTAACACACACACGCACACACACACCCACTCACCTGGTCTACACCTCACCTCTTGTATACATAAATAAATCTTTAAAAGAAAAGAAAAGAAAAGAAAAAATGATGAGCCCAACCCCTCAGTTTGCCACTGAGCAGGCCAAGAAGGCCCAGGCCAGAGTTGAAACTGACGCCCTCCCTGAGCCCTCCAGCCCACTGGGTACCTGGCTGGAGGCGGAGTTGGAGGCAGACCCTGAGAAGGCATGAGAGCCTGGGGGTGGGGGGGAAGGACCTGTGAGAAGTGAACCCCTCAGTGGCTGAAGAGGTCCACATGTGACATGGGCGTACGATGCACCTTGTCTGATGCCACCCCTTGCTGA